GGAGAGAGAGAGAAAGAGAGAGAGAGAGAGAGAGAGAGAGAGAGAGAGAGAGAAAGAGAGAGAGAGAGAGCGCGAGGGGAGGGAGAGAGAGAAGAGAGAGCGAGGGTGAGAGAGAGAGCGAGAGTATAATTATATCAGAAAGAGAGCGAGCGCGCGCGAGTCGAGCGAGAAGAAGAAAGTCAGAGAGAGGGAGCAGCGGTGCAAGGAGGAACTTTTGCCACATAAGATTTATCGATCATACGACGCCTGCCCCTGACATTTCAATGACCGCATCGCCGGATGAACTACACAACACCCGCGCGCTCACTCGCGCACGCACGCACGCACGCACGCACGCACACATTCACGCACGCGCACGCGAGGCACGTACACCCTCACGTACGCATTAGCCACGCGTACGCACATTTAATATTATGAGCGACACAGAGACTGAATTTATATGAGATTTATTTCCGTCACACGTGCCGCCGTTCTCGCAAATCATTCTATTTGGATTACAAACAGAATATGTTGGCGCGCGTATATGTATGACTATTGCTGATAGCTGGTCTCCATTTCCACACGCCCGACCTGGCAGCGATGCATAATCACGGCTATATCCTACTTTATAAGCTGTATATTTCGCGGTGATATAATTTTCGCGAATTTCGCGAACGCGTCCCCGACCGCGAATATAACAACACGCGAATAATGCATACCGAATAATTCATAATTCACCGACCGCGAAATTAACCACTCGCGAAATTGTCCGTCAAGTCTGAATTCGCGAAAATATCTGTACGCGAAAAATATCGCTTATACAGTAATAGATGTAATATGTAGTAATACGTAGATAATACGTAGATAATACGTAGTAAATAACCGTACAAGATAGAGATAGAGAAAGAGAGAGAGAGAGAGAAAGGGGGGAGAGAGAGAGAGGGAGGAGAGGAGTTGTATCCAATTTCACACGTCCGACCTGGCAACGATGCATAAACACAGCTATATCATAGTAAATGTAATAAGTTAAAATGATAATACGTAGTAAATAACCGTAAAAAGTTCATCACTAACGTTATAAGTCAATGACATCGAGTGATACGCTGGTCAAACCCACGCAGGGTAGTGACAATGGATCTACGTCCCGTAGTAGAGACAGTCCAGGTTTCCACTACACACACGGGGTAAAGGCACAGGCACTTGGAGCGTTTCAATAAAATATAATGCTAAATAAATACGAAATCGATTTACTACCAAAGTCTTAATGTTTCTCTACTCCCCTTCACCTATTATTGTCGACAAGCCGTGCTGCAAATGCTCCAGCCACTGCAACACATGCCCACCGCACGCACGCTGCTGCACGCTACTGCACACTTACACATAAATATAGAGCTCTATATTAACAGAGAGAAACATTAAGACTTTGGTAGTAAATAGATTTTGTATTTATTTAGCATTATATTTTATTGAAACGCTCCAAGTACCTGTGGGTAAAGGCAGTAGATATACGTCCCGTAGAGACAGCCCAGGCTTCCACTGCACACGCTTGGTAAGGGTAGTGTATCTACGTCCCGTAGAGACAGTCCAGGCTACTACGGTCAGTACGTACAGACGGTCCACTATCCACATGCACACGACAACTGTATCAAAATTCATCGTTGACCACAGAAGGCTTACTACATGAAAGACGTCGTATATTTGTACAGCTCAGCTAATATATAACAGGCCATTTTTAATCGTTACATGATGAGGTCATATTTATATAGATGCGAGCGCACGCACGCACGCACGCACGCACGCACGCACGCATTTACATACACACGCACGCATGCACGCACGCACGCACGCACGCACGCACGCATGTACATACACATGCATGCATGCACGCACGAACGCATGTACATACACACGCATGCATGCACGCACGCATGCATGCACGCACGAACGCATGTACATACGCACGCAAACACACACGCACGCATGCATGTGTGCACGCACGCGCGCGCACGCTGATGAACCGCAGGAGAATACGAGTGATTTTCATCTGAGGATTTGCGATATGCCTGCTATCAGGAAGCTTATTAATTAGAGTCCCCATATAAGAATTTGGCGTTTCGCTTCATAGATTACATAATTTAATCATGATGTTTATGATTCTGATTTCACGGCATGCCTACTGTTCAACTAGTTTCGTTGTACAGCGCACTTTCAGCACACCGCAAACAACCTAACCCCGCGAACACAGGCACTTGGGACAGAGTGATATATTCTCTATATGTATTCTATATATTCTCTATATAAATTTATTATAATGGCGACACAGCACACTTGCAGCGGCAAGTGCGGGAGCGTTCTGCATTAGTTTTTGTGAAAGAAAGTTGATATACAGTGAAATAAGAGGTAGTATTTGTGAATGTGCGTTCATATTATTTTCAGTTTTTACTGACTCTGTCCCAAGTGCCTGTGCCGCGAACAGAGCAAGGTAAACTAGCAAATGGTAACGTGTTTCGCAAGACGCTATCAAGCAGACAAAAGCAAACTAGCGAATAGCAACGAGTCCTCTATATAAGATCCTATAGCGAACGAATAGAACGAATCCAGGCTACCGCGAAACACTCTTTTTTCATTCTATATACTATTCTATATTATGTTATATTATTCTATTATATCAACAGTCTCTAATAGCATAATAATAAAATAATATTAAGACATTAATTAAGGCATTACTCGAACGTTCAGGCACGGCGCTGCAGTGCTGACACACAGATCCACAACCCCCTCTCCCCGCGAAAAAGCTCCCCCGGCCTGTCTACTGAAGGGGAAAATACCAGATGAATCTGTATACTATATAATACTATATGATAATGATGCTAAATGAATCTGTATACTATATGATACTATATGATAATGATGCTAAATGAATCTGTATACTATATGATACTATATGATAATGATGCTAAATGAATCTGTATACTATTGATACTATATGATAATGATACTAGATGGATCTGTATACTATGTGATAATGATACTACTATATGATACTACATAATAATGATACTAGATGGATCTGTATACTATGTGATAATGATACTAGATGAATTTGTATACTCTATGAAACTACTATATGATACTACATAATAATGATACTAGATGAATCTGTCCACGTGGAAGGGCCGATGAGAAGCGAGGCTGGGGGCTACGAACGCGAGAGGAAATAGCCGCGGGAAGGGCGCGGTAATTTTCTGGCTTCCACCGTTGCCATTACCCCCCCCCCTGCGCGAGTCTAACGCGTGCGATAGAGAAGAGACGTGCCCGGTGGGAACGGCCGCAGCGGACGCGCTCGAATTACAGAGAGAACCCACTCAATGACGTACACTGGATGGGGAGGTGTACGCCATGCATGCACCCATCAACGACTCCCTCTGACATGCTTTCACGTGTCAAATAGCAG